TGCAGAGGTGTAAAGCAGAGCTACCCTCCCCCTCATCTCCTCTCATCTCTCACAATCTCTCAAAGGGCCTCTTTCTGGGATGAGAGATGGAGAGAGAAAGGACAGCGGGGGAAAAAAACGACTGCAAGGCAAGTCCATCTTCCTCCGACAACTACAAACTGATCACTTAGTGCAATTAAATCTAATAACAATAATAAGATTGAGCTCAGCAATGTACCACCAAATGCACAGCCACAACAATGATTGCAACAATAATGGAGCGCCAAGGTATTTAAGGATCCAATCCTGACTTAATCATGAGAAATTAAAATGGATTTAGCATCAGAATTAGCTTGATTTTATAGGTAATTAACGGCACACCACAGTGGCGGTATAAGGCAAGCGTTATAATCTCCGTGAACAGCTAAATCAATTTGACTTGAACAACACCAACCAATCAACACAGAGCGGAGCAACCAGAAACAGCAGGTCTCGCATATGCAAGGAGAGGGAGAATTTATGCTAATAGCTGAACTATGATTTATAAGATGTGTTCCAGCGCCAGATTCACAGTCACATCCGCAAATACAACACAGCACCCAGCTGTCAACGCATGCAGCTAATAGTGGCTGGATGCAATGGCCCTTCAGGAGATAGTGTAGCTATAAACAGCTCTGCGGATTTATGATTGCATGTGGCCTTCATATAGGAGCCTTCACATGTCAGTATCATCTGAAAGGAGGGCAGAACTGTACAAAGGAGAGATAGAGAGTGTGCATTTGGTGGTGGCGTAATGGCCTGTCCTGCTTAGTATGTGGCCTTACATCACGCATTTGTTTTGTGGTGTTGTATGTCTGTGTTGCGTGTATGTCATGGTGCTCGGTTACACGTGCAGCGGTTTTACAAAACACTGCCAATACATGTGCCTATGGAAGTGCGTGCATATGAGCGCGCGCGTGTGTGTGTGTGTGTGTGTGTGTGTGTGTGTCACAGCCTCAAACTATTCAACCCCCTGTGTGTCTCAATCCTGCCCCTTTCCTCCTCGCCCCTTCAACACACAGAGACACACACACACACACACACACACACACACACACACACACACACACACACACACACACACACGCACACACACACACACATACACACAGTAACAGATGGCTGATACTAACTGAGATAATCCGCCAACAGAGTCATCAGCATGGATCAGTGGTAATCAGAGTGTGGACACAATGTCTCTTCTCCAGCCGTAATGGAAGGAGCGCCTGGCGCAAGAGAAGGGAAATGCATTATTCCCCATGATGCCCTGACCCCATTCAAAGACACACGGTGGCTCCCAGCTCTCTTTCTTTTTTTCCTCCTTACCGCAGTCGACAAAGACTGTATCATCGCTGTTTCTGCAACATTTACTCACTCCTCTGGATCGCCTGCTCCCCGCCTTTTATTGTGATCTGCAACTGTGTCAAACACAGACCTCTTTTTAGCCGTGTCCGGCTCAGCGCGGCTAACAAGAGAAATGTCAACGTAGCAAGTGTGTCATGATGAAGGTTGCTGGTAAAGAAGAGGTTCAGAATGAATAATCTACTATTAGCACCTCTTGTTTAATCAGCATATGGGGAGTCACTGCGTCTTTTTTTTTTACACTGTTTTTTCTGTATTACTCAAAACAAACATACTGACTTGTTTTTCTTTGACCATTCCCAGTAAATAATTAAGGTCTTTCTGAGAATTGATAATAGCTGTCGAATATACAAAAGCTCTTCCGGTTACCAGTTGACAAACTGTCAGTCAGGCGTCATGAATCACTCATTACTGAAAGGTACTGCGCGCACGCACACACACACTCACACACACACACACACACACACACACACAAACAGAGAGCAAGGTACTTTTTTATTGCAGTTTTGTTTGTGAAAGGGAGATCATTGACTCTGAATCATCAGCATCTTTTATTTCTGACCTTGTGTAACTGTTGCTCAGGCACACTGAACTTTGTTATTTGTATATGTTCGTGTGGGTGTATGTTTCTGTGCACATGCCATGTGCATATGGATGTGGATGTTTGTACTTTTTGCATGCTTGTTGGCAATGAGCACTAACTGGGCAAGATCATCTTGCTTATAGCAGAGTGCACGCACAAGCTTGCTTGACCCCTTTTCTCTTCCCTCCCCTCCCTGCACGCACACCGTTAGCCAGGAAATGACATAACCAGTCTTGGCAAAAAAATTAAGTGACAACCTTTGTCCAGAGTCAAACATCCACTCAGAGAACATTTAAAGAGACAGACTGTTCTGTGTGATATCATGCTACACCACCGGTTGTAGATCCTGAAAGGTCATAACAGAAATAGTATGGTTTATTCTAGGGCTGTTTATTCATCACTTGGTCTGAAACATGTTCAAAATTTGTGAACTATGTCCATCACAATTTACTAAAGCTCAAGGTGACTTGCTTCTTTTGTCCAACTAACAGCCCAAAACCCAAAGATATTGAGTTTATTATCACAAGACAAAAAAAA